AATTAAGGATAAGTCAAGGAAGGAAGTAGGGAGGGGGGGCGGGGAGGGAAGGAGAAAGGGAGAGAAGGAGCGGAAGGAAAAAGAAAAATACAAAGGTCTGACCTTGCCTTGGGAAGTCTTAAAGTTTTCATTTATTTTTGTTTGTTTGTTTGGTTGGTTTTGCAGGGGTGGGGGTTGGCATTGGAGACCCTGGGGACATGAAGACAGTACTAGGCAGTTTGGGACAGCTGGTAGCTTGGGAGGAACAGCTAACAGACAGACTGATAGATAGTACATGGAAAAGGAAGGAGCTGGATAGCTGTTGCCAGTCTGCCTTCCATGGCACTGCCGAGCAGGGAGCATTCCAACCCCCTTGGAATCTTGAATTCCTGTGAAAGGGGTGCTCAAGCATACAGGCTGAGGAAGATGGATGGACTATGTAGGGAAAGACAATCATGACCAACTCCCAGAGGGAGGGGCATGGGCAGGCCTTCTGAACAAGAGGAAGAGACTGAAGAGAGACCACATGCCAGGTCCAACTGAGAGTGGAGAGCCAGCCCTTTGGGCAGGACTGTGTGGGTCTGGTGATGCAGAGGGGAGGGAGATACTGTCCTCTGTGGGCACAGAGGATTTTGTGGCTGAGGAGGCCCAGAAGAGGAAAGAAGCCCACAGGGTGGAGCTGCCAAGGTAAGAGTGATACTTGCACAGGAAGCCCACATGCAAGCCCACTCAGAAAGAACTTTGCCACCCTGGAAGTCCTTACAAAACACCAAATGTCTGTATGCTATATCTCAAAGGCTCCTACTGGGCATGTTCAGCTTCTTCCTGAGGTCCCTGAGTCTCCAGATCAAGCCTCACAGGAGTCTGACAGAGCCAGAGGGCAAAGATGGAGAAAGCATGGGTCTGCTTGAGGCAGGGACACAACTGGGGTGTTACTGCCGCATATACTAAGGGGACATTCTGTGTTGCTTCCAACAGAGTGGACCTGGGAAGGTGACAGGTCAGTCAACACAAAGGCTTCTGCTGCTGGCATCAGTATCTTAAAGCAGAACTGGTCCAGGATAGGTAGGATGTGGCTCAAGAAAGAGGGTAAGCACCTCAGAGACACCTATTTCAGGTACCACCAAGCAGCATGGACTCTACAGAAGATGCCTCTTCCTCTAAGATGGGCTTCCCAGCCCCCACTGAGGGAGATGTGATGCTCTGGGTCAGGATTAGCAGATACGTGCCTGACCATCAAGCTGTGTCTAGAGGGCCAATAAAGTATGTCCCTCCTCTGACACCCAGCCTCACAAAGGTGAGGTCCTATACTAAAGAGAGGTGAGCATGCACTGTACCACATCACGAGGAATGGCAACCAGCTGGCCTGCTTCTTCCCCAAGTATTATGCTGTCTCTCTAAGTGCTCATGGTATTGGGAGGCACCCAGTGCAGGGCATGCAGGCATGCAGCCCTCAGTACAACGCCTTAGATAGGGACAGACACCACTCCTGTGTCAAGAGGCATGGGAAGTGGACAGATTCCGGTCATCCATCACACACCAGGCCAGTGCTTTGTGGCCAACCTACAAGGTTGGTGTGATCCCAGGAAGCTCCTCAGGAGGGACGTGAAGCTGAGGCTCGGTGAAGAGGGTGACAAGTGTCATACAGAGTCCATGCATTCACCTACCGAGCAGTGGTGTGGCACCTGGTATGTACTGCCGAGTAACAGGAGTGACAGGTGGTATTGAAAACAGGCCATCTGTGTTATATTCGTCATTAATAAAGCGAACTCATCACAGACAACCTCTCCTCAAGTACCCAGTGTTGACTGCTGCATCCATGGAGTTTGCATCACCTCCTGAACCTGTCCTGGGGAGGGGGTAAGGTAGACATGAATGGTGAGAAGAGTTGGACACAGCCAGCCAGCACACAGCCTGACCCCCCCCCAGCCCAGGTCCCCGCTGAGGCAGCAACCTAGAAGCACCATCCCGTCCCCACCCCCACGGGGGCTGCAACTCCAAGAGCTTCTCCAAGCTGAGCGTTGATACCGAGAAAAGATCAACCATGTATTATTCGAAGTCAGCCAAGCGAATATAACACGGTCGATCTCCCTTCAAGTACCAGCAGAGGTGCTGAGGCAGAGACATGCTGGGCGCGGGCTGCGGCGGGCACCGACGGCTAGTGGACCAGGTGAAGTACATTAGAGACAATTACTTTCCAGCTGGTCGACCATCCGTCCCATACCCCAAAGCAAGATGACTCCACGTTCTTCCCTGAGGTGCTGGGGGCTCCACTTGGCCTCCCTGGAGGGATTTGATACCGAAAAGGGGTTCACCGAGCAACATTCGTCCTCCAGATGCAAAGTTGCTCGGGTAACCTCTCTCCGAGTACCAAGGAGAGGCTGGACGCTCAGACCATGGCCGATGCTTCAAGGTGGGTGTGTTTCCAGGAGACTTATCCTCGGAGCCCCCCAGAGTTGGTACCTCCCCCCATTCAGCAAGAAGCCGCCCTCCACTCCCTGAGAGCAATTACCCCATCGCCTCCCCAGTGCATCTGCCATCTTTTCATCTCCCCCAGAAGGAGTATCTAGAGCTCCCCTCCCCGGACGCGAATTGGACCTCGGGACACAGGCAGATAGGGGCTGACACTGAGCAGGAGAAGTGAGCACAGTGCAGGAAGTGAACACAGAACTCTGCTCACTCTCAACTCTCCCTTGCCAGCCCTGGAGACGGTCCTGCACGTGTGCACACCCTCCACCTTGGCACCACTCACAGGTGGTTTAAGAAGTAACAGCAAGGGCTGTTATGGGGCTGCTGCCCCATAAACAAAGCAATTAAAATGTCAGTGACGAACATGGAGGGAAGAGATACTGAATGGTCTCTCTTCACACACTGTAAAACAGCTCATCTGAAGAACCCATGCAAGCGTGTCAGAGGAGAGGGCTAGCCCCACGAGGGCCAGGACCTGATGACACAGGCCACAGGCAGAGTCTGTGCCCACCACCCGTTTTTCTGAACCATGGACTGGGACCAACAGTCCTGTCTCTGACAGTGACAAGAGTTCACATGGGCCTCTAGCCTTGCTGAGGCGCCACAAGAGGCCAGTCACATGCAGTCTATCATAAGAGGAAAAGACATCACAGGCACTTCATCTAGGTGTTCTGGAAACTGACCTGTGGATCAGAGGCTCTTCTCTGAGCTGGCATCACCTCTTGGAAATGTTCCTAAGAACCGCGCAGTGGCAATGACGATAGCTAGTAGTAGATGGAAGGTCCAGTCAGTAAGCATGCTCAGAACTGTCCAGGGTCTTCCTCCAAACACTGTCCACTGACCAGCTCCAACACAATGGTGGAGCCTCCAGAAGGCAAAGATCCTTCTGAAAAGAGATACCATGAAACCCTGGTCACCTCTACAGCTGTCCAGAAAACATTGAGCCCTCTCACACTCCAGGTGGGACATTAGGTCCTGGGCCCATCAACTCTATGATGGTCTCCCATTTCGGGCTAGCCTCCAGGACAAAGAGACATTCATCACCAACAACAGGCATCTTAAAAGCTAACAGTGGGTGCTGGCAACATGGGAACCCAAAGGAATGGTAGCCCCTAGCATGTTCCAGGTACCACCTGCTCGGGAAGGGCAGACCCCACCCACCACGGAGCATCCATTCAACCCCAGAGCCAGAGCCAGTGTCTCACCTGGCACATCTCCTGAGGCTAGAGGAACTGAGAGGACGGCTCACAGGGCACACACTCTGGCACTGGTCCCCATCCACACTCTCCAGAGGGCCCTCTCCAGCTTGATACTACTGGAGGCCGCACATTGGTCGAGGAAGCACTCTGTTAAGCTTGGGGACAGAAAATAATGTTTAGCCACACAAAGAACCTGCACTGTGACCAGGTCTTCCTACTGCCCCACCCTGGCTCCAGTCTAAGCACATGGATCTCCCCATCTGACCAAAAACTGCACCCACACTGATTTTCATAAAAACATGCTTTCGTTTTTTGTTTTTGTTTTTTTTTCGGGGGGGGGGGAGTAAATTCCATTAAACTAATCCAATTCCCCGCTTAGCTTCCTTGACTGTGCTTTTGAGCCGTTTTCATTTCTTTTATTTCCCTTGTTATTTCTTCAAATCATTTTCATTAGGATCAATTCTTCCCCATTTAAAAATCTGAGGGAAGATTTGATTCCTCAATGTGCGTTCGTCTACCACAAATATTACTGCTCGTAGCCGCTGCCACTATTGCAACGTGCCTCTTATGGCTGCCGTGTCTACAGGGTACTGTTTCCCCAGGTCAAATGTCGTAGCTGAAATGTTGTCAAGAAAATTGGATTCTTCTGCCAATTTGTAGTCAATTGAACACATTTTCCTCCGAGCCATTCCGGTAGTTTGTGGTGTTATTTTGTGATTATTTTATCACTATTATTTAATGTAAACGGGATGAAATGCTGGCCGTCTCTATTCACTTCCTAACCCATCCAAAAATGGAGAACAAGGTTTGGTGAGAGATGAGGGAGAAAGAGAAGCACACAGGAAGTAGGGTGGGGTGTGGGGGGAGAGAATGGATGGAATGTAAGAGCTCCTGACCTAGAGAGCTGGAGAGAAGAAGACAGAGAGGGAAGGCTGCCATTGTCCTTGACACTGCCAAGGGAGAGTCCTTTTGGTCAAGGTGTCTTCAAAGTAGAGTAGTCAACATGTCTGGGATCAGAGGGTGTGACAAACAGGATTTGGGCCGAGGAAAGCTGCCGAGCAGACACTGGCATGTCTTCATGGGTCCCACCATGTTCTCTGATCCACACCCTTGCCTGTCCACACTGTGTCTCCACCATCCATTCCAGCACATGGCATTCACAGAGACCCAGAGCATTGCACCTCATCCCCAAAACCACCCCAAGCAGGCTTTGATACTCAAACAAAAGTTGCCTTTGTGTGATTCAACATCAATAAAGCGAATTCACCAAGGGCAACCTCTGCTCCAGAATCAAACGTCAGCACAGGCCGAGAGCAGTGCAGGGCGGCACTGCCCCCCTCGGCTCTGGCTCCCTGACTCCCACCCTCTAGGGAGGTTGGTGCTACCTCCAATGAGCCCCCAGGTCCAACTGCAAAACAGCCTCTCATGGACTGGCTTGCAGAGCTCTGTCCTGCCTACAGGTGGAAAGAGCCTTATACAAATGCATCATGGGTCCAGGCTTTGGCCAGCAACTGGTCACTCACCCAGAAGTGGATACCAAATCTGAATCCCCAAATAAGTCTCCCAGAGAAGGAACCATGACTTCTCTGTGCAGGGTCCCTGTGACCCACCAATAAAGGCTGACCTAAAAGTGGGTGACTCCCTCTCCTAGGCAGCATCCTGAGAGGACAGCAAGACCCCACAGACAAACAGCAGCATCAGGGAGTACAAGGCTCTGGGACTGTCCTCCATTCTCCCCAGCTTCTGAGCAGCCACAAAGAGGGTTCGACAAAGAACATACATCAAACTGCCATTCATTCAACATCATCCATACCGTGCACACCTAAGGGTACTAGAGACGAGGCTTCTGAGCTCAGGGACCCTGTGCTGCAGAGGGTGGGAAGAGAGCCACGGGGTATTTACATTCATGCAGCAAGCATCATTATAACAATCCAATGGTTTTCCAACTTTTTCTGGGAAAACCAGGCAAATTACTGAGCACACATTCAGTGTGTTTACATACCTTATAAGCAGCCATTAACGCTCTCACACAGACAAATTGAGGCACAGACAGATGACAGGCTGACTCATTCAAGGTCACACCATTAGCAAGCACCAGGTAGTAATGGATGCTGCCGATTCCTCTCCTTCACAAAGGGACACTGGAGTCAGAGGAAGGACATCAGAATTCTAACACCACTAAATGTCACCATGCAATGCCCACCCACACTGCAGTTCTACTGCTGCTTTTACTTCCTAGTCACCCTGGGACTAGAACATGAAGAAATGGGGATGAATGAATAAATGAATTCATTGTATTGTATTCAGCTAGCTCCACCCACCTGAGTTTCTCACCTAAATACAGGGCTTCACCCAATGTGCTCTTCTCTCTACAACAATGGCCAGAAAACCAGAGTCACCCAAAATAGTTGGTGTCATTTCTGGGCACTCCTACTTTGACAACCAGGTGACACAAACCCCAGGAAAAAATAAGTACTCAGTACAGGGGACACTCCACTTCCTTGCCCTGCACAGACACTAATAGAACTCCCCCCTGGAGAAGCTCTCCCAGGAAGATTTTAGTGCCGAAAGGAGATTGGCCATGTAATACTCATCATAAATAAAATGAACACACCATGGACAACCTCCGTTCGAACACTTGATTTCGGGAGCTTGTGCTAGCATGTCCCAGGCAACAGGCCTGAAGAGGGAATCCCTCAGGGTTAGGCATAGGACACAGGCCCTGTGGCCCGGGGCCGTTTCCTATCTCCTGCCTCCTATCTCCTGAAGCCATTGCACTACCACAGAGGGGTTCACCAAGGCCACACAGGGTGTGTCCTAGAGAGCCATGAGGAGGCCTCTTATCAAAACACCACCAAGGGAACAGGACTGCCACTTCTTCCAGTGAGTCCACAGGTGACTGCATGCCAACTTGGGCTGATGGAAATGGCCATGTAGATGTGTGAACACAATCCCTAGCTCTGAACTTGACCTTTCCCTAAGGTGCTTGAGAGCCGCATTTTATACAATAGAAGGTTAACGATATGGGATCTGTGAAGAGAATACACTGAATGACTAGAGAACACTTCGTCTCATTCCAAGTAGGTACCACCTCCACGAGTCCACCAGAGAACCAGGGACACACTGGGTGAGGACAGCATGTGTGCTCCTGTATCTGCCTGCGGTGAATGACCAAGGCCTTCACTTACCCTGGAGAAGAGCTAACACCAAAGTCCCACCCAGAAATTCCTCCAAGGCGGGATTTGGTACTGAAAAATAGGTCAACCGTGTATGATTCGTCATGAATAAAGCGAAGGCAACACGGATAACCTATCTTCAAGCACCGCAGGTGAGTACCAGCATCTCTTCTCTGAAGCTGGCTTCCTCCAGGAAGGCCCACCGAGCACAGTGAACACAGCAGGTGAGTGCACTGACTGTAAGAGGGCTTGAGGAAATAATTGCACACACCCCACAACCAACCCTTTCCTCCCAAGGCCCACAGCCATCTAGCCTTGGCACCACTGCTGAGGAGTCAGGGTCTAATGAGCCCTTATGGGGTCTGATGATGGAGGTCTTAGGTGCACAGATTTCATCGTGTCCGTCGCATGAGGACACTGGCTTCACACTGGCATGGAGGCACACAGCAGTGATGCTCACTTTCTTTGCATAGGCCTTGGGCCTAGGAATTTCCAGCAGAGCTCCCCGTGAGGCTGGCTCTACAACACTGATCATCAAAACAGTGTCATCCCTGAACGCCAGCTATGAATACCATGCTGTGACACTGACCCGAGAATCATGGCCTCGGCCCCCTTGGTGAGAAAACTTTCAGGGTGTCTTCCTAAAGATAGATGGAACTTTGAATGAATGGCCCACAGGATGTGAACAAAATAAACAAATTGACAAGAAGTTCACATACCTGCCCAGTGATGACGGGTCCTGGGTCCATGTCCATCCCAGAAGCTGGCATCGCAATTAGGCATCCTGCCAAGATAGAAGGTGACACTGAGAAAGGGTTGTGATTCCTTTAACTACACAAATTTGTGATAGAAATAATAACAGGGAGGGCGGCAATAAAGATAGCAGCAGGTGGTATCTAAATATAGGACTGACTAAACAATGCAACTAGCAATGCAGATCCTTTAAGCCAAGAAAAAAAAAAAGAAACAACTCTCAGAAACAACAGAAGACAGCAGCAACTTTTGAATGATACAACTAACTAATAAAGAAGGAATAAAAATTACAGGTGAGATAAGACTGATGGAGGAAAATACTGGTGATGGCCTAGCCCAGTAACAAGACCGCTTAGGGAAATCTGCCACAAAGTCTGTAAAACAATGGACAGACATCCAACCACAGCTTAACTAGGTTGGTATAGAATGCACCGCTACAAGCGAAGTCAAAGTGCGTGTGACGCACAGCTATAGTGAAAGTGTGTGTGTGTGACGCACAGCTATAGTGAAAGTGTGTGTGTGAGGCACAGCTATAGTGACAGCTATAGTGAAAGTGTGTGTGTGTGTGTGATGCACAGCTATAGTGAAAGTGTGTGTGTGATGCACAGCTATAGTGAAAGTGCGTGTGTGATGCACAGAAAGGAAGACCCTTGGGAGTTAACGAAGAGAATTTACTTCAGAACAAGCTTTCACCTGCCCTCCAGGGCAAAGGGCAAAGAAGGGCGCACAGGGAGGGAGCCGGAAGTTGTGCCCAGGCCAAGCAGAGAGCACCTGGACCAGCACTGTTCCAGGGAAATGAGCACCCCTCCCTGCCCAGAGCCCCTCCCTGCCCAGCGCCCCTCCCTGCCCATCAACAGATACAGTGATTTCTTGTGTGAGATGTCAAAGCCCCAAGACAAAGATGGGAGAATTTGTCTGGGTATGACAATCCTTGAGCAAAGAGCTTAGTGAGGATAAACGAAGGCCTTGGAGGACCAGGCAGGACCTGCGGCAAACCATTATGTTAAAGCTGTGTGTGCACGGGGGTGGGGGGGTGAATAGGGGATTGTGTACAGCATGGATAGGGGATATGTACATGTGTGTAGAAGCCTAATATCAATGTCCAATGGCTGCCTCAATTGCTCTCTGCTTTATTTTTAAATTTTGAGATAGGGTCTCTCAGTGAACTTGGAATTTGCTCCATGAATTGGTGACACTGGCTGCCCAGTGAGCACCCCAGGACACATCCTCTGTCTCTGCCCCGCACCAGTGCTGGGGTAACAGGTGCACAGGGCCATACCCTGGTTGTCGTTGTTGGCTTTTAGTCAGTACTGGAGTCGAACTCGGATCCTCATGTTCGTATGGTAAGCACTTTCTCAACCGGGCCATCAGCCAGTCCTGTATTGTGACCACCACACCAAAACAGAAAAGAACAAAACCAAACTCTCTAATTCTGGGCTGATTATAGACAGACAATGAACAGCTAGCAAACTCACAAAGAAGAGACCTTAATGGAATTAAAAAGAAAACAAACAAAAGAAGAGTATGAAACATAAAGTTGAGAGAAACTGTGTACAAATACCTGTCAAGTTTCTAAAGAGAGTGCAAGGAACTCACAGGCACAAAGGCTGACTAGAATAGGAAGTTTTGGAGAAATGAGAAACACTATACAGGCATTAGAAGGACATTCCTAGAGATAAAAGACTTCACAGAACAACATAAGTCCCAAATCTCTTCCCAAAAGCATATGGAGACCTGAGAGTGCAGTGGGCTGCAGTGTAGCTAGGTGGAAATGCAGAGGGTTAGGGTTCAATCTCTACAACGACAAAGAAAAGGAGGACCTACTAGATAGTATCTAGATAAATGAGAAGTTTTTAAAAGCCACATCAAAGGAGGCAGTAAAATAATATCGAAGACGATGGAAAAGACTGTGCAATCTCAGAGAAACTTCTAAAATGGGCTGAGAATTCTATACCTAGCTTACCTGTCTCCTGTGGTTGAAAGCAAGAGACCAGTCTTCTTAAGCACCCAAGAACTCAACGGTAGTATCTGTGAGACATTCTCAAAGAAATGATGAGAATTGGCATTGCACTGAGAGATGAATTAAAAACTCAGAAATAGAAGCCCCAGTTTAAATAAGTGGTCAGTAATGAAGCTATTTGTGCTGAAGACCAATCTTAAACATTTGTGAGACTTACGCTCAGATTTTTTCCAATGGAAACATTAAAATGCATACATAACCCTAGTGAAGCATGTGGCCAGAGTGGAAGCATGGCCATGTCTTCAGCTGTCAGGGGCATCAGAGAAGCTGAGTCCCCACTACTTAATGCTTTCCATATCACCCTGCTTAGTGGTACTGGACTCTTTTAGGAGATGGCAACTCTTGCTGTAAAGCAAAAGGGAGAGATCTATCAAATCTTCCAAGCTCCTCCAGTTGTTTCTTTATGCTAAGCACAAATGAAATTGTAATCAATATTTTAAATTAAATGATTTAGACACAGGGCAGAATCACCCCTGTGAAATGGTTTTCTCTCTACCTCCCTTTCTGTCTGTGCATATAGTTTGAAATTTCTTAAAGTTATTTATGTGTGGGTAGAAACTTTTGTAATTTCTTTAATTTAATTTTTTCATATTGCTTGAATTTTTATCACAAGCATGCATCTTTTTCATAACTAGGAATAGGTAGAGTAAATACTCTTTTCACAAAGAAAATTAAGAAATAGAAAGTATTTCTTCCCATTATTCTAATTTAATGATACCTTCTGATATCCCATTTGACAGGCATGGAAAAAATCATCCTATCACTCATCTCCCTACCCCCCAAAATTGTTGACCCCTGGACTCCATTCCTGAATTTCCCAACATATCTAGACGTCCTCCCTGCAAGGCAATATTTGCTAGTGGAAGAAGGGGGTGGGATCTGCCACTTTTCTTTACAAGTAAATGAAAACCCAGAGATACCATGGGCATCACCACGTCCATGCCTTTAAGTCTTCCTCAGGGCTGGCCACGACCTCCAGGAAGGGCCTGGATGGAGGTAAGGAACACTGGCAGGCCAGTCTGCTAGTTACAGTGGCAACCACATGTTCAAGGACACTGGTACAAAACCAACATGAACGTGGCTTTCCCAAGACTGGCATCAGGTCCAAGGAGACAGCTGATGAGATGTGATACAGGTTGAGCACACATTGGGCATCATTAGGGTTGCAAACTCACCATGGACAACCTCCCTCTGAGGACCAGGAGGTAGCAATTGTCACAGCAGTCCTGAATTATCTTCACAGTGTGGAAGCTAGGGAGAAGCCTCTGAGAGTCAACGGGACACTGAGGATGAGTGGACCAGCTGGCTCAATTCCCAGTCAGACCCATGCTGTCTGTCCAACCCCTGGTTCATCATCCCAAAATTAGTGCCTGCCCCCGGCTTGTCATGCAATGTTTAGTAAGTCAAAGATGGTGACGCAGCACCCATAGCAAACCACAAGTTTGCAAAACAGGATGCCCTGGGGCCATTAGATGAACTTGTGCTTCCCTTATCAAAGACTTCATGTCAGGGTACAGAATGGCTGCTGACAACTCAGTATAGGGTCACACAAAGTCCTGGTTCCCAGGACTATTCTATATCCGGATAGTGAACTAACAAAAGCTGTTTCAAGGTGGCTCTCCATGGTAGAGTTAGGTACTGATAAAAACAGAAGCTAGCCAGTGTATTTCAATATTTAAACAGATAGAATCCCCCAATAGCCCCTCTGGCCTTTCCAAAAATATCAGGTGTCCTAGGAGGTTATCTTAGGGTTAGCTTGGACACTGGGGGTTAGTGTGTGTGAAACACACAACTGGAGAGAGATAGTCATCACATGCTCAGCCATCCAGAAACTCACGTTGGAAGCAGCACTGGGTCAAGAAGCTCTCTGAAGCAGTGTGTGGCACTAAAAGAGAGGAGAGCCATGTGTGACTTGCTTAGATGGATTGAATTCATCATGGCCACCCTCTCTTCAAGTACCACACATAGACACCGGTGAAGAATGTATCGGCTCTTCTCACAAGGGTGACTGCATCCACTGTCCTGTGAAGAAGGGGAGGGACAACATTGGGTAGTGGGCCGAGCCGAGTGACATACACCTACATTAAGTGCATGCTCACCCGAGGCACACTTACCTGAAAGGAATGCTGATGACTTTGGATCCGGTTAGTCCTCCTAGACCAGAGGGGGCGCCATTCCACAGTTTCACATTCTCCAAGCTCCCGTGGTGGTGTGGTGACGGCAAGACAACCATGACTGCTTCTCAAGGCTGGTATCTCACAGACTCCTTCTGTAGAGAGACAGGATATTTAGGTTAGAAAACCAGATGGTGGATACACCAGCAAAGTAAGGCACATGCTCAGTAAAGTACAATTTGGTCACACACCCAGAAGAGAAGGGATTTCAGGTCCCTCATGGGAAGTCAGCATCATGTCCACATCTGAAGTCAACACTTCTAGCAGGCTGTGATAGTGATGCCGCAGCTACTATGGATGCCTCATGGCATCTTGCGTAAACATACACCCCTAAGACCACAGTTCATCCTGGTCCACTGAGCAGGCACAGCCATCAAGTCCATTGACACTTCCCCAAACTTGACAGGATCTCTGGAGAGTCTTCTTTGAGTGGAATTGATGCTGAGGGTTGGTGACTAGGTGGCCCACAGGGTAAACAGAGTGCATGCCCCTCTGGTCAACCAGTCACACACCCTGAATGGTGCTGGCACCAACATCTCTTCTGGAAGATGGCCTCTTTTCAAAGTCTTGTAAGGTGATGCTGGTAGCAAAACCACAGCTGCCTCCCCAAGGTTGGCACAGCCCACTGAGAGGCCTACAGATGGGTCAGATGCTCAGGTGACCAGACCCGGTGACTTACAGCTAGCTCAAGCATACTGTCCGTGGCCAACCATCCATACTTGGCTTCTCTACAAGCTTGACGGAAACGCCATCGTTCTGCAAGCTGCCATCGTGTCCAGGAAATCCTTAGAGGTAGCATTTGGTACTGAAAAAAGTGTTGTCCGTGAATGATTCGTCACAAGTAAAGCGAATCCACCACGAACAACTTCTCTTCAAGTACCACAGAAAAGCAGAGACAAGACAGACAAAGGGCCCCTTCCATTTCTCCAAGGGTTATGGTTTCCAACCACCAACCTGCAGGCAGATTGGATGCTGAGTGTTAGTGAGGTGGGGGACGAGTGCTCTTGAAACGTGCCCGAGAGGGGCAGCAGTGCTCACTCACCTCCCTTGCCACGATGCTGACACTGTCCCCTTTCTTGGAAGTTGAAACGTTCTTGGTTCCAGAGTCCACACTGAGAAGCTTTCAGGATGAGAAGGGGAGGCCACTTGTGGCAGGTCATCAGTCCTCTGCAGGTATATAGACCCCTGAGTGTGTGAATGGGGCCTTCGACTTCTCTGTGGTACACATTTAGTTAGCCACCAGACACATCAAGCTGCTGAGGGGACTACAGCCCAAACTACTAGCATCCTTAGGAGGGTCAAGGAGAAGTTCAACTAGGAGATCACCACTCCTATTTCTACCGTGTCACCACTAACTCATCTCTAAGAAATCACTTTCATGAAGGACACTATCACCCATGGCTTACTCACCTCCTACAAGGCACCTTGGACTAATAGGACCACTTACCATTTCCAGATCCCAGTGGCTAGCCATTGGGAAGCTGTCTATTCCCTAGAGGAACTTCCCAAAGCTCCCGTTAGAACCTGTCTCCTACTTTTCCCTGCCCCACCTGCCCCCATTGTTCCCTAAGACATCCCACTAGCAAAGTCTCTCATGGCTTCACTTCTTTTCCACAGCTCCACCTCTCATCCTGATGGAAACCTGGCTTCCCCTAAGGACATGGAAATTGTTTATCTCATCTCCTACATTTCTGGCTAGGAGTGATCAATGCCTCGCCTCTTTTTTCTTCCTTCTGAATAACAAGCCATCAGTTGACAGGCCATCTAACTACCCAGCATTAGTCCCATGACTTCTTCACTTTCAGTTACCCTTGCTCCCATCTCACTAGCCTTTCAGACTGCCAAGGTCTTTGCCTTAGTGGGGATAGCCACAATACCAGCAAGGATGCCCCCGTAGCCCACAGAGTCACTTGAGGACCACAGCTCAGAGACATCACACCTCAACAGCCTCCGGGCCCTCCACTTCCTACCTGTCACTCCTGATGTTAGCTCATCCAGCCCCCACCTGGAGGGCTCCCCACAGTCTCCACTTCTCCACATTAGGAAGATTTCTCATTCTGGTGATATTTTTATCAGCTCTCCGTGACCTGCACAACAGCCCATATGGATGCTCTTGTCACTGTCCTCGCATCAGATGGCTCTTCCCAACACACACTGCACACTGCTCTCTCTCTGGTGCCTCCTTCTGAAATGCTTCTACCATAGATCTCCATCTAGTCCCCTTCCCACAAAGACTTAATGGTGAAAAAACAAAACTACGTTCCATGGTCCATGGTGTCCCACCAAAATGCCCAGTCCGGGTGAGAAAGGACTTCACCTTAGTACTCTAATCCTAAGGTCTGGACTACTTTAGAAAAGTATACACTCCACCATTATATGCAATATGGTTGAATCATTCCTGTTGATGGATCAATTTATGGAGCATGTGGTTGGGACGTTAAAGAGAATTTAATTTTAAAAATCAAAATGCCCAAAGAGGGTCATGGGAAAGCACCAACCTTTTCCCAACAATCACTCAGGATAGCAACCTAGATACAACTCTCCTGCACAGGAACAAGCTAAGTGATAGCATCAGAAACAAAACTATCTCCCAACTAACTTTCCATCATGCATCAAGAGAGCCTAAGAATGGATTGAGGACCAAGGGTCAGGAACATTGGCAACACTCCTTGCTTTAGCCAAATGAACAACTCTCTGAGGCTGGCTGAGGTCAACAGCCCTTTCCCCAACAAGATCAATACTCCCATATAGGACTCAAGGTCAGAAAGCAAACCTGGAGGGCTGGAGAGATGGCTCAGGAGTTAATGCTCTTTCAGAAGAACTGGGTTCAGCTCCTAGAATCATATGGTTGAGTCACAGCCATTTATAAGTCCAGTGCAAGAGAATCCAATGCCCTCTTCTGACCTCCGCAGGGTCCTGAATGCACGTACATATACTCAGGCACACACAAAAACAAAATCAATAAAATATATGAAAACAAGCAAACTCTTAGCATGCCATAGCCCAATCCTGAAGTCATAGCACTTGGGAGCCTGAGGCAGGAGGACTGGAATAAGTTCAATTCTGGGGGCTTTGGTTTTATAGTGAATTCCAGGCCAGAGAGACTCTGTCTATAAAAAAAAAAAAAAAACACAACTCAAACAATAAATTGGAGAAAAAACAAAGCAAACTGGGTGGGAAACTGTCTTCATGTGCCTGCAAATCATCTTAAAAGACCCCACTACTTCTTCAGGGCTGGATAGCCTGTAGGAGCCACCCAAGAAGTCACTTGGTAGGAAGGGAATATAACTAGCTGGCATCAATTTAAATGAATATTCTCTGATCAAAGTCTTTTCCCCTGTGAGGGGCAACACTCTCCTCCTTGGGGCCTACACAAGGAGTTTATCTTGACAAATGGAAACTCTATTAGAAATAGCACAGTGTGGCTTCCCGGGTCTTAATGGTGTGTCTTTGGGGAACATGGGGCTTAGTCCCAATTAAGGCACAGGCTGCAAAATAGGCTCTCCTCCCCTGCACCTGAGGAAATACCTATGTTCCCTCAATGGAGCTGGGATTACACCTGCCACGATGCAGCAGAAGGATCTCATGTCCCACTAGGGTAGTCTGGGTGCTGAAGGCCCAGGACAAAAAAGCCCATGTGACCTTCACTGGCATGTCCTGTGACCTTTGGTCCATCAGTTCTTCCTGAGGACCTCTTACGTAGGCTAGCCATCTAGTTTTGCGTTTGGTAGTGATGGTACTTCTCTCTGACAAAGAGAGAGAGCAGAAGTAGGAGCTGAAACAACCTGACCTCAGAAGTGTCCTGAAGATGGGGTGTGTGGCCTATAGGCCATAGACATCCCTAGCACCTGGGTTTACCTGGGCCCACTCTACTCTCACGTACCTTGGGCCAAGCCTGACAGTGCCCTTGTATGAAGCTGGCATCCATCTTGAACCGATTCCATCCAAGGATTCAACAGGACTGGTCATCGAAAAGGGAACTGCCATCCAGAAGGTGGGATCTGGGCTTCCCATCAGGTGTAGTTATCATCCCTGAAGGTGATAGGCCCAGAGAACAGTGCCTTTGCTTATAACAGGGGTATGGGCCAACCTCCTTTTCCCAGAATCAAAAGACACCCTGGAAGCTAGGATCTACTCACTGGCTGGGTATGATCTCCACCAGCGAGGAAAGAAAGAAATCCAGTCTCTTCCAGAGCCAAGCAGCAGGACAGGAAAGCTCCATCACGGTACTGATTGCACCTCACTGGTGTCTGCCAGAGCAGAAAGTAGATACCAAGGACAGTGACCTCAGTGAGAAAAAAAAAAAAAAAAAGCACAGGGCCAAGTTGGGTTGCCTTTCCCATACCTGGGGAGAAATCAAGCCTGAATTCCTGGAGTGTTCCTAAGTTGGATGCGACCCTAAAACCAGACTGTTGCCAGGGGAGTCTTTATAGAGGCTGTGACTATTTGTCATGGCTTCTCCCCACGGCCTCCCCACTCTGACAGGATTTTGCCCACATGCTCTGGCCTGGGGAAGGCTGCAGTCCTGGGGTCAACTCACCCACTCAGTGCGCCCTGGCACTGAACACTGGTGGAGCAAACTGAACGAAGCAGGACCAGGGTTCCCAGGGCTCCTCCTCCTCAGCAAAGTATCCAAGCAGTGTCCTGAAGGAGACGCAGGGCCCACTTGAAGCTCACACAAGGCACCCAATCTCACATCTCTCATGAGGGAGGACCTTCAAAAGAGTTTGATATTTGGAGATTGATATTCCAAAAGGAGATTTTAAACTGTGTATTTTGACTGTGATGAATAAACAAACATAACATTGATGACCTCAAATATCTTCAGGTGGTTGTGACAGGAAAACTAGAGTCTCTTGCCCACTGCCATCTTTGCTTTTAGAAGATTCTTCCCATGATGAGTTGGATCCCTAGTCAGAGAGGTGTGTGCCCACAGCCTGTAAGGAAGCACATCACTGCTGCACAGTAGTGCCAGGAACAGCATCTGGCTTCACAGCAAAACCCATACCAACTAGAGGCAAGGTCAGGAGGTTCCCTGAGGTAAGTCAGTTCAGAAAATAACGACACCTCCTCTGGTTCTCCCTGAGAGGAAAGTTGGATGACAAGAAGCCAGAAGTTGGAGGAATACCATAGAAGGGCTATGCTGTCTTGGATAATACCTCTTTTGATAATGTGTAGTGTTGCTGGTGTCTGCAGATAAGATTCCTCTGGCCCCAGCAGCTGTGGTTCCAGGAACTGCTCCTTAGGATGAACTGGAAATGGAGGGTGACAGAGTCAGACGGCCTCAGTCATCAATAACACTCTAGTCTGCGGACCTGTTGCTGACAATTCCTTCAGGAGGCTGATACGGACAGCCGCTCCCTGAAGAAGCTCTTACATCTGGGAAGCCTATGGAGGCATGATTTGATTTGAAAGAATAATCACATGACATTTGTGCAGAAGGTGGCCTTTCACAATTGGCCACAGTTTGATCACCAAAAGACAGCATATTGGCTCTAGGATGTGCACTCATGATGGGGAAATGGGCACACACACCACAGGTAACACACACTATCATCTCCAGCCCCCAGTGGCGACGTGTGTTGTCCACAGACCAGCAGCAGCAGCATCACTTGAGAGCTTGCTAAAAATGCAGAATCTTGGTCCCTCAATCAGAATCTGCTTTTTAACAAGATCCCTAGGTGATGAATATCTTAGCAGCACTGAGAAGTTTGAGAGACCCTACTCTAACCAACAATTTATACAGCCATGCACACTGCATACACACACACACACACACACACACACACACACACACACACACACACAGGTGCTGGGATGAGTTGAAAATGTGTGCTGTTGACCACAGTGTCTTAGTTCAGATATGTCTAAGATAAGG